GATGGAAAAATTGATAACAGCTATTGCGAAGATTTAGCTAGGGAAAGCAGCGAGACATGATGGTATAACACCAGAGGTCGCAGGTGAGCGACTTTTCCTGAATGTTCTCCAGGCAGCCTGGTGTAGCAAAATTATACCAAAAGACTAGGAGACTATATTTTATGATATGGTAATTCATGGAAGCAAAGGGGAATCAATAAGTCAAGGAAAATGAAGGTTTGATTATCAGATATCAGTTGATTAAACTGCATTGTATAAATCAACAGTGAATACTTGCTACTGTAACATTTTCAAGTGCAGAACACATACCATAAAAAGATGATAATAGCATTACAAAACAACATGCATGGCAGCAGTAACAGAACATGCAGAAACAGCAGAAGGACTGGCAATAACACATCTTTATTATAAAGGTTACTGTTAAAATTCTTTATCTTCCTTATAATAAGCATGCATATTTTGTATTATATTTAAAACTCTATTTTCTATTGTACATACTTTAAATAATAAAATTCTCAATCCCCCCCCCCCCCTCCCCCTCCCGTAAGTGTAGAAAAACTACAGCACACACACACACACACACACACACACACACACACACATAAATAGAGAATAATTGAGCTTGTGTGTGTGTGTATTTATATATATATATATATATATATATATATAAATACACACACACACAAGCTCAATTATTCTCTACCACACTTTCAATAATAAATAGCCTAATTCCCCCCCCCCCCCCCCCCCCCCCCCCCCCCCCCATTAATTGTAAACAACAAACAATCTATAGCACATACATTAATTATGTACAAAAGCAAGAATTTGGAACCAGTCAGCACAAGTGTTGGGGAGGGCAGGTGCTAAACATAGCATGCTTGCTAAAATTAACTTGGTTTCTTAACCATTATTCTCTATTTGAAAACAAAAATAGCTAAATTTCCTGTTTTAAGTATTAAATTATCTCCTGAAGAGTCTATGAGTAAAGTAGAGGCTAAAGTGAGCAGCTGGTTTTCTTTTCTTTTCTTTCACCCCATGTTGGGTGCTCCAAAATGTCCTAGGGATATCCTAGGGATTTCCTGGGAAAGTTCAATATTGTAGGGGTTTTATGACATGACTTTGTTCGGTGTTCATACAATGTGCAAACAAATGTGTGCACCAGGTCAACAAATGGTTGACATACAGTATTCCTCATGAAAGTGTGCAACTTTATTTTGTGTAAACAACTGTGCAACTAACTTTCTTTCTGTATGAATGTGTTGATTGTTTTCAGCATTTTCAGTGTTTATTATGTCGTTATTTTCAGTTTGTATTACTATCCTTTGTTCGTGCAAAATGAACATCTACTAATACTAACCCTAACACCCCTATACTATGAGACCTTCCTGAGGATACCCAAAAAATCTCATAGGCCCCAAGATGGGGTGGGAACAAAAGAATTCTAAATTAAAAGAAAACTTAGGTTACTGCAATAAGCTGATGCAGTGTTGCTTTGAACACAGCTACGGGACTTTTGTAAAACCAATTATGGTTGTTATTGACAACAGCCTACCATAATAACAACATAACTCTATGAGGGCTTATCGTACAGAACTTTAGTTGCTATTTGACTCATCATCATAATCATGTATCAGGTATTTGCAGAACATCGCTCTCATCACGGTCTGCCTAAAAGAAACTCGGTCTCTCGCCAGCTCTCCTGCCTCATGTACTTTCCTACTCAAGGAGTCACTTATATCCCGTGCCCATCTTCATGCTGGTCTGCCTGTGCCCCCCTTTCGGGTACTAAGCCTTCTGCTATTATTTGTTCCAATCCGTCGTGGTGCTTGATATGACCAAAATATTTCAGCTTTTAATACAGGATGCAGTTTATTAGCTAATCTTCCTTGTTAAGATCTTTCAAGATGTCAGTATTTCTCCTCTTCTTTGTCCAAGATATTCTGAGAATCTTTCTACAGCATTTCAGCTCAAAAGCCCCTATACTCTTTCTTAAGGACTGGTAGATAGTCCATGACTCACATCCATATGTTGCTACAGGACAGATGCATGCTCTCAAAATTCTAATTTTCATCTCCATGCTGGTGCTTAACCATAGACGTTTAATGCTGTTTAATCTTTGCATTGCTATGGCCATCCTCCTTTTAATTTCTGTCAACGGTCTCCATTGCTATGTATTAAAGAGCCTAGATATTCAAAGTTTGTGACACTTTCAATTTCTTCATCAATTATTGTTACTTTTGGGTGACAGCCAGTTTTATCTGTGGACATTATTTGCGTTTTCTTTAAATTCAAGAACAGATTTTGATCTTCACTGTGCTTTTGGACAGACAATATTACATTTTATATTTCCTTTATGCTGTTCAAAAGGAGGTCAGTGTTTGACTAGCTGTGTTAAAAACCTGCAGAAGTTAGCAAAATGACTAGAAGAAATTCAACAAGTGACATTCCTGACATTTCGAAATGAGAAAAAAACATAAATATGGGACCATGAGTCTTTCAGAGAACTTCAGAACCACCAGTCAACGTAGAACTCCAAGGACTTTAACAATGATAGTTAAAATAATTAACCCTACCAGACCGCTGGCCCAGTTTACCTGGAATTTCTTAACCTGTCTCTATACTGCTGGCCCTAATTTTTGGCTTTTTGCATAGTACGGGAAAACGATGCGTCACGGACTAAAAATAACCACCCAATCGTTATCAATCTCTTTGTTAGACATTGCAAATGTCTGCCCACATGGGTTTGGATTATATTTGTGTTGTTTAACATGGAAAAATGCTGAAAATTCACAATGAAACGAGCGGCTGATGAACCAAGTTCTAGGCTTTTCACAGTCCAACAGGTGATCGTTACTTTGGTTTATTCAGACTCTGTGATATATATATATATTCATTATCTGTGATAATTTCATAAAGAATACGTTCTTGAAGTGACACTGTCAGTGAGAGCGCGAATGATGAGGAAAATCTTGAAAATTATAAATCTTGAAATAGGTCGATAATAGCAGAAGGGGGTGTGTCCATCAAACGGCAACATCTGGTGTTCACTTTGTGAAACAAAGCTGATGAGTGAATTCGCACACAAAGGTGGAATATTGGCACTAGATAAAAGGTAAGCCTATTTTCTACAATGTCTCCAAGTTTCAGCATAGCCACTCGTTTGCATGTAACTAATATTTGTGTATATCGTGTTGGTTTTTTCATGGTAATGCCCAGAAGCTCGGGTTATAGGGACAGTTAGGTTCAGGGCCTCAGGTCTGGTAGGGTTAAGACTGAAAGAGAAGTGAAAGTATAATCAATTGGAACACATGGATGAGTGAAAGGTTGACTATAATAATACAAATATTCTTAAGGTTTACCATGATGTTATATGTAGTCATGTTGTTGAACTGGGTGTGGTTATTAATTAAATAAATGAAGATTAGTAATAGGTAACTGAATGGTAATATGTGTATTGTAAATGGTAACGTATTGACAATGTTATGGGTCAAAAAGGTCATTCTGTTACAGGTGTGCGTACACATTGAGATCATAATGATCTTTTATACAGTTTAGGGAACATACAAGAAAGATAACACTTTCCAAGGTAGAGGGAAATCTGCCTGGCAAGCCACAATTTTATCTGACATCTCATCCGCACTAATGTCAAGAAGTAATGACTGATGTCTTTGCGGAAGGAGGCGGGTAAAGGACCGCGTGGCAGGGATTGGTGCCACTGGATACGGCAGAAGCTTAGACAACCAATTTCAGGGGTATGTCTATGATGACTATATTTGGATCACCAAGCCGTGGACAGTGTTGGAGAGTGACCAGTGGCATTTAGCTTGCACTAGGTAAATGTGGAGCAAAGTTCAATGGATTTATCTTCGCAGATCATCGTGATAGCCCCCCCCCCCCCCCCCCCCAATTAATTTCTGCTCCTGTCTGCCACCAAATTTCCAGGGAAATATTTTGCAGAATGCAAGAGGTTACAGTGCAGGAAATATCCATTTCTTCTAACACCAATGCCAGGCCCCAAAAAAAACCACACAGTGAGAATGATGATGTAAAAAAAATACAGAATGATGACATCATAAACTCTGACACCACACAACACCCCTAGAATAGTGGACTGGACTGTGATTTCCCTTGTTTGGGGTCATCAACTGAAGCCAGAAAACTGAAGTTTTTAATAGACAGCAAGTCCACATTAAAATAGGTGGGATAATCCTGGGACAGCATCTTTACATTAAAATAGATGGAACATTTCTTGGATACGAACACTGAACATACACTGTCATCATCAAGTGCCTTACTGACTAACATTAGCAATCATACTTCTCCACATATGAAAACCTTCCACAGAATCTATCACTGCCTGTGCTGACAAGAATACACTGTTCATTTATAGTCTCCAGAGCATTATTTCTGTTTTCATGGACAGTGCTTCACCAATGGAGAAACAACATATGAGTATACAGTTTTTCATTACACCCCTTCTCTCTTCATGCTAATTTTTCATCCTAAGTTAATTTATTAAAATTGTATTACCAAATGAATCTTTCTTTTTCATTTAAGTATATAACAAAGAATAGATTAGTGCTTAGCTTTAATTCTTCAAAACAGAAGACCTGTAAAGCTGCCGAATCTTGCCTGTTGCTAACTTTCTAGTACTGATGGAATCAACATCAATTAAGCATCTATAATCTGCAGACTACAATGCTGTATGTAGCAAACTATGGTATACACTTAAACAAATAGCACAAAATCAAAGCTGGCCCTTTGAAGGCAGAAAGGGCTATCTGGAATTTACCGTGTTGGTCTTCAATCCATATTGAGTTTTTTAACTCTCAGGACGGTATGGTGAACTTTAGATAGCAGCCCAGAGGTTACAAACCCAGCGATCCATCAGAAATCAGTTTTTCCACAACACACCACTTTAAATGCCAGATGGAATATAAAGTTTTAAGTATGAAAGTGAAGCACAAGCTGTAATGACATGACTTGTGTGCGACACTTACCACTGAGCTCGGAGACATCAAGTCTTCTCTGTACAGATAATTATTTGGTTTGTAACTTTTCATGATCTCACGAAACTTCTCTGTAAAAATATAAAAACAATTAATCTGAGCTTCAGTCTACCGAATTTTAACTAATATAAATTAATTTTATTATATGAAAATTGTTTAATGTTTATTTTTAAAAGTTCAAATTTGCTAAAAATCTGCTCTTAAACTATAAATGTAAAACCCAAAAAAGTAGGGAGAAGATAAATGATGAGGAACTGTATGCTGGAAAATATTAAAAAATACAAAAAATTTTCCAGCATACACAAAAAAAAAAATGTGAAAATTATTACACTACAAATAGATTAACAAAAAGAGATGCAACAAAAATGACCAGGGTTTCTAAAGAATCATGGAAAAAAAAGTATGGAAAGCAGATAGCCACATTTAATAGGTTTCTCTACAGAATTTTACAAATGAGTTAAAAATATGAGAGCAAGAGACAACAAGAGAGGCAATCCTGTATTTAATCCAAACCTGAGCCTAACAAGATGGACACAGCATTTTAACCCTTTCGCTGCTATGGACGAGATAACTCGTCTGCCCGGCAGACTGCTAAAAACGAGATAACTCGGCTGCAATTTTCTGTGCCCTCACTGCTAAGGACGAGATATCTCGTCCTGGACATTTTTTTATAGATTGCTAAGGACAGTAATTCTTAGGGGTGAAATAGCAATACACATTAACTTAATCTGATCAAACTGACCCGTTTACATACAATTAAAACCCTTATCAAGTGAGTTTAGGCGTATTTAGATGCGTTTCACGTTATCCTGTTTCTTTGTTACCATAGAAGCATTGTCGGTGAGCGGTAATTTTTTTGCCCTGAAATATATTTCTGGTTTTGCGTTAGTCTAATTTTTTTTTTTTTAAATACAAAATAACAAGAACATTTGTTTAAATAAAGAAGAATTAATTGAGTTTCTTTTAAGGAGTAGTAGTAAGGATCACTTTGAAACGTGTGAGTTATATGAGCTTGGTTATCTTCGCGGCACGCCGGCGGACACGTGTACTTCTGGCTGTGAACAAGACTGACCAGTGACCATATGATCTAGCTATCTACATCGACTGGATTTGAAACGGATCCAAAATAATCAAAAAAAGATATGGTCACGTACTGACGTGATGATTAATATTAATGTTAATTATATACTATACAACTGACATAAATGTGTTTGTCTATTAAAGTGTACAATACTGGTCTTTTTTTTCAGTTCATAGTTTCATGTGAATTTCTAGTGTAGTTGGTATCATGTCTGCCTTATAATCGAAAGGTCCAGCGTTCAACCCCTACGTACCGTTTTTTTTTTTTAAATTAATTTTTTTAAATGCAAATTTTAAATTTAAGGAAAAGAGAAAAAGTGTAGGAGGACAAAAAAGTGAAGATCTGCCACTTCGTTTAGTACAAAGGCATTTCCCTTCAATAATAGAGACGGTAACATCGCAGAAAAAATTCCCAACCAGAAAGTGTGTGGTATGCGCAAAAAGCAAAAAACGACGGAAAACCAGATACATGTGCAAGGAATGTGATTTGGCATTGTGTGTCGCACCTTGTTTGGAAATATTTCACACACAAAGATATTATTAATAATAATAAAAACCATGTATTTGCTTACTAAAGTGTTTTGTGTTTGCTTTGTAAGTTTGTAGTGTTTTCTTTTTGTTAATGAGTTTTCACGGCGTAGTAATAGCGCGTCTGACTTGTCAGCGCAAAGTTCAACCACACGCCTTCAACGATTTTTTATTTTAGGTGTACAATTTTTACCCCGTGCCGCAAGCGCGTCTTCTGCTTTTGAAGGAAAAAACGGTATTCAGCACAGGGGGAAAGATTAGCTCTCGCCTGGCTTAGCACAGTGGTTACGTTGGCTGGCGGAGGGCGCAGCAGCGAAAGGGTTAAAGAGCTATCCAAGCCTGAAAACAAGGTAGATAACATCAGCTTTGTGCAGCAGTAACCAACATGAACCAAACTTTTTAACATCAGAAGTAAAATCTGTTGTAAGAAGCACCCTAAAAACAAAGCACCTGGTTTAGATGGAATAACTAAAGAAGCCTTTCCAAGCATGTGGTAAAAGTGACATCAAATGCTTAACAAGAATTTTCAATACAGCGTGGGAAGAAAGGAAAATTCCACCTGACCAGAAGCAGGCACTGATAGTAACAATTTGGAAACATCATGGCTATGTACCACCCTTCAAAAAGCACAGTGAGAACACAAGAACACATAAATGATATGTTCACAGTCAATACAGGCATGAGGCAGACATATGTGATCTGACCTTTCTAATACTTACACAGACAGAATATCTAAATAGCGAGCAATTAGGCAGTTGACCCAGAAAATATAGAAACACTAGAACTGTACTCTCTAGAGGAAGAATACACACAATGAAAAAGCTATATTTACAGATGATTAGCGGCTGTTCTACAATGAAGGGAATAGACCACAGGACCATTTGAACAGACTAAGTTCAAACAGAAGATATAATATGAAGGTAAATACAACAAAACCCCAAGTAATGAAGGTCAGTGGAATTACTAGCTATATTTAGGGTTGAATGGTACTTGTCTGAAGCAAGATAAAGAATTTAAATGACTAGGAAGTATTTCTCTGAGGATAGGAGAATAGATTGGGAAACAGAAATAAGATGCCAAACAGCTAATCACTTATATATCAAATGACCGCATTTTTAAAACATCTAAACATAAGTATGACCACCAAGACAGATGTTATAAAACAGCATATTCAGACCAACACTGTGCTAACAATGCCAAACTTGGACATTATCAAAGGCTCACATATGTAAAATTAACACCTGTGAAATGAGATGCCTGACAACAACACCATGCAGCACATTCATTGAGAAACATAAGATCAGATGGTTTGGTCATCTTTTTAGAATTTAGCCACAGCTACCAACACAGGCGCTATGCATGAAGAGATTTAATATGAAAGCAAGAGGCTGCCCTAGGAGAACATGGACTGATGACATTAAAGACCTTCTACATGGACACAGAATGACAATAGCCATTGCTACCCATCATGCAATGGATTGTCAATGGATGGAAAACTGTTCCTACCCACTACACTTAACAACAGTGGACGCTGATGATAACGATGAAATGTTTTTTTAATCAATATTACATCTGTCTCATACTTCATTTATAGGTATATATACCATTCTCATTTACATAGACAGCAATAGTTTCTGCAAGTCTTTAATTTATGATTTAATACATTAATACAGGAAATACTATCTACAAGTTGTCACTTAAACACATTAAGGATAACAACAATAACATCTAGCACAAAGTTAGTTAGTTAATCAACAGATTATTCTCAGTGCACATCGGACAAGTCCATAAACGCTCGGATCCCATCTTCAGTATATCCCTCAGCATTTGACAACTGAAAACACCAGTTCTGTGTTTGTTTACTATTCTTCTTTGGCTACCTGTATTGAGTTCATGTTTGGCGACACCTCTTTTGACCTGAAGTATCTTGCACAAGAATACATTGAAATATATGTGAAAAGTAGAACAGCTAGGGAACAAACAATATACTAATAATATAATCACACAAAACTTCATCTAAACATCAGATTTTAGAGAACTGGAGAGTCATGATAGCTGCTCTAGGACAGGCACTAGAAAGAGAAGAAGAGGGAGATCAACATTAACACTATTACAGGTGATAAACAAACAACATGGCAACAGGTAATTTAAAATAGAATAAATACCTCCTGAACTGGTCAGGACAAACAGTATGACAGTGTGTGGCAAGGACTATTTATGGAAAATTACACAGAGAAGTCATGTATGTGATAATACACAACTGGTGACTTTATTTTTACCTGATTCAGCTACTGATGGAACTGGTCTGAAGATGACTGACACAGTGATCTGCCCACATTTTTTGTCCTGTATAAATCCTTCTTCTGGTTTGTTGTAGCCAAGTGTCAAGGTCCTCTTGATTACTTCTGTTTGAGACTGAAAAACAAATCAAGAAATATGCTGCCATTAGGTCAGTGTCATTCAGGTACTCTCAGACAAAAATATTAAATGAAAATATGTGTTTTACGCATTCATACAAGCCCACACGTGATGTGGTCACAAAAGTCTCTCTGCAGACTGCTGCCTTCTCATCTCACAGCTCTTGATGAAATGAAGGCTCAATATACAGACATAAGGTAGGTTAAGCAGTAAAGTGCTGGATGTGAAGATCCCCTAGGTAAGTTCTGTACCAGTGCACCGACTGTTATGAAAGCCTTCTTGCATAGAGGGGAATGCTCATGTTCTGCCTCTGCCTTCCTTTGAGGGCCAACCAGGATGCACATTGCTAGCCTTTAAAATTTCTTAGATGAAAAATTGTGAAAAACATATATTATATGTAGAATGTTGAATTAGGAATCAACATCACAGCACTCCAGATATTCTCAAAAGTGCTCCATCCCCATCTTCAAAAGAAAACGAGTTCTAATTCTGACCTCATCAGTAACAGTCTGGTTGCACTCGAATATCTCTTTCGCCTATCCTTCAGTATTCTGCGTTGGCCAGATCCTCTGGTCACTTCTGGCAGCACCATTCTCCTCAGACTGTGATGATCTATTTGTGCTTCTAAACTGTTCAAATGTTCTCAAAATACTGTTACATCATCTAGAATGTCATGCATCAATTCACCACCAAGTGCAGCAGAACCAGCCAGTCTATCTGCCTTTTAATTTTCCAACACACATGCATATTTGGAGAAAAGAATCCAGAGGATTCTAAACTTTGACGATGCTTACCACTCTGCAAATAGTATACCTCTCTAACTTTCTCAATATGTTTTGTAAGTCACTCACAATTACAACACATGTGTAAGTAGGTTTTCAAGCCTGCAAAAAGCTGCAGTGACTGACTCCGCCTCCATTCTCAAACTAAATGTTGTGATATTATATGCCAGTGCTCTGCTGCACTAAGTGAAATTTATATGCTTTTGCTATTTACCCCCATACACTTCTTCTGCCTTCCAACACAGAGCAATCAGTAAGATAATCACATCTCCTCAGCAGGAATTGTCATGAATCTGTTTTTGAATTTCTGGTTGTGCAGCATCTACTGGCCAGTCCCTGTACTCCTGACCTAACCCTACAAATGTCGCTCAGCCACTTTGACCCACTTCTCTCCTCGACAAATATTTTCAAGCTTGCACACAGATCTGTGTCTTCTCCCTGTGCTGTCCAAGATCTTTCTTTTTTCAGACGGTGACCCTCAGCTCTATCTACAGCTTCTTGCAAGAGGTGTTTCTTGTCTGCAACTACTCTGAGGTAGGACTTCGCTTGCATCACTTTGAGACTATCTGTAATAGTCGGTAGTGCAAGTATATATTGCGTTCATACTACTCGGATATCTCTTGTGCATCTCACAATCACCCGCATGGCTTCATTCTGTAAGTTTAATCAGCATTCTTTGTTCATGTCCATTGATGCCGTAATCTTTAATGTATTGTCTTTTTGGCACTTTCCTGCAACAGCCTCCACATGGTCCATGAAGGATAAGCTTCTATCAAAATGGAAACCTAGGTATTTAAATTTGCTGCTCTTTTAATGTTACTATCATTAACTGTGATGCTTGGAACATTGGCCCTGACAATCTTGGTGTCCAGAGAACACCACAGAACAGCCACATTTTGTGGTTTAATGACAGCCCCATCTCCGCACACCAGCCAGTCAACTTGTCCACTGTTACCTGTAGCTCTTGGGCAGTCTGTTGCTTATTGTCCCCCTGCCCCTACCTATATGCAAGAACATCATCAGCAAATGTCAATATCCTACACACACCTGGAGCTTCAAATTCTGCAATCTTGCCAGTATGCACATTAATGCACTTGTGAAACTGTAGAGCCTTGTGGTCATCCAGAGATGATATTACATGGCTCTGAGGTCCAGAAGGAAAGCACTATCTGAATGAAGGACAACTGCTTTCCATTTCACCAGCCAGGGATAGATCCCATTTTCCATAAGAGCAGATATCAAAACATCATATCTGACTCTATTGTAGGCATGCCCAAGATCAACTGCTGCCACTATTGTCTCCTGTCTATTCTGAAACCCTTCATATACATCAAAAGCAAAAATGGCTGCATTTGACCAGGTATCTTTTCCTTGATCTTTTCTATGAAAGCAGATATCAGAACATCATATCTGACTCTATTGAAGGCATCCTCAAGATCAACTGATGCCACTACTGTCTCCTGTCTATTCTGAAACCCTTCATATACATCAAAAGCAAAAGTCCTCATGGCAGGAGCTTTTCTCTTTTAAAAAATGTTTGCAGTTCAACAGTAATAACTCTTCTAGCACCCTGCCAAAAAGCATTATGTAGTGTGATAATCCTGAAACCGCTGAGTCTAGAATGATCTTTGCCTGGTCTAGGTAGTAGGATTAAATAGCTGTGCACCCAAACAGGCGTCACAGATGCTGTTCTGATGCTCTAGTTGAAATGAATAGCAAGCTTGGGATATCAGCTCTTACAATTCTTTTGTATACAGAGCATCATAAAACAACTGCCTTTTCTGGGTTGATGACAGCACCCATTTCTGTACACTAGTCTGTCACCTTGTCTACAGTGTGCCTGTAGCTCTTGAGCTGCCTGTTGCCTACTGCGTCCCTGGCTGTATGAAAGAAGAATTTCATCTGCAAATGTCAATATCCTTTGACCAGATATTCTAAACAGTGCACAGTATTATAAATCCATTCTGGCAAAAAAAAAAGGTATGTATTAGATGAAAGTTTTTACCAGACAAAACAATAAAGTAACACACATATAGCAAAATATGTCTATTTTAACATACAGCAATATACTGACTTCTGACAAACTAATGTGAGTCGATCCAAGGAAGTCATCATTTAATGTGTTGGTACCATCCCAGTCATACACAAAGAATGACAAGGGACTCTGTGGAATAAAGGAATAAAGATCAGAAAGCACAGCAGCACAAATTCAGTAAGTCATTGTAGGACATTTTTAAAGTGACTCACAGAAGACAATTCTGAGTCTGTAACACACAATCACTCCTACCAATCACACACAAATATATTAAAAGCAGCAGTTCACCGTCCTAAACAAAATCTCTGTTAAATATATAACCAACTAATCTTTAATATTTACATAACTATTCAAAGCTGACAGAACTGTGCAAAAGACATGGAACTTACATTTTAAAAAAAAATAGAAAAGCAGTTATAAAAATGAATACACATAAACAGAGAAAATATCATGTAACTCAAGGTACTTACTTGAGTATAATCTGCAACGAAAAATTCCACCCAAGACTCCCAGCGAGGATTTCTTGTGCGTGGTACGAAAGGAGTTGTCAGAACCTGTATGTAGTAATAAACATATCAGTGCTCACAATTCTAATTACCATCTTATATTTAAGAAGACTGGCTGTGACACAATCCTTGTAATGCTGATGCATTGACATGTCTACAGTGATCTGTTCTCAGAAAATGTAGTTAACTACCACTGGTTCTGTCTGCACCTGCACAATATTCAGGAGCACCGATTCTAAATATATTACCTAAAAATAGCATTAATGGGGTTTCCCAAATGACTTGTATAAAGCACATTGAAGTAAAAGTTTCCTGAAAGTGATAGAGGCCATGGGATCCTGACATGAGTCACCCAATACTAACTTTTCTAGGCCTCAGGGAAAGGATTCCATTTAATACTTCATTCTGATCATGTTTATTGACTACTCCCTTCACGCTAATCTTTATATATTTTTACAATTTGAGAAAAATGTAAGTACCTAATGTGTTTTTTAAATGTATTAGTGTCCTGTGTAAAATGCTAATCTGCCAGGTGCATATCTAACCCAGAGATTAAATATAATTTCTTGGTCACATCCAATGTAGGAAAAAAACTATTAGTAGAAAATGGAGACTGCTTAAAACAGTCTTTACTTTTATACTGGATTATAAACCGTATACTAGCAGTTGGAAAAAATACTTAATACCATCAAACTGTAGAAATAAAGAAAGATGGGTGGGCATTTATCGAACATTCACAGAAATCACATTACTCCCAGACAAATGGTGAAACAGATTTCAAACATTTTGGCCACAATAAAATATATCACATTCCAATGAAAACTATACTGGAGAGAAAAACAACAACTAGGCAATCCACAGGAGACAATGTAAAAGTGAAAAAAAAAAAGATGAAGTATAGAGTTTACAACCAGAGGGACAGCAGCAGAGATCAAGTGCAGCTAACCTTTCTTGCGGAAATGGTACTTGTTTTTGACTGATTTGTTTGAAAGATTGAATGTGATTATTTCTACAGTCCACAAGGATAAGTTCCACAATACATATAATAGTGTTTGACTACTCATGATAAATGGTATAAATGTATAGTCTTTCCAGGGCTATTTCATATATCTCTTTAGTTAAAACAATTCAATAAGGTAAATATAAAAAATATAAAAAACACTTCAACCATAGGTGTCTTTATATAAAAACGCCAGATCAAATGACCTGTATATCTGTGAGAAAAGGGATTGGGGTGGTGGGATGCATGCAGGAGGGAGAAAACAAAAATGGTTCAAGAGAGAGAGAGAGAGAGAGAGAGAGAGAGAGAGAGAGAGAGAGAGAGAGAGAGAGAGAGAGAGAGAGAGAGAGAGAGAGAGAGAGAGAGAGAGAGAGAGAGAAAAGGAGGGAAAAAGAAGGGAGATATAGGGGAGAGAGAAAGAGAGATGGAGGGAAGAAAGAGGGAGGAAAAGACAGAGGAAGAGATACCAATTGTTACCCTTTTCCTATTACAGAACAAAACACAGTATGGGTCAGACGCTCCGGTTTTATCAGCCACCAGGACGTTGGTGGCCCCATGTATGCACACATACATGACTCCAGCCACTGAAAAACATTGACATTAACTTGAGAGTATGCAGTGTAGAGGTAATCTGAATGTATGATCAGATAAATGTCACAATATCACATTCATATGGAAATAAAACTGCGTAACTAGTCAAAATATTGACTTTTGTAAGTGCTTTCATATTTGCTATAAATGTACATGCAGGTATCATGGCTAGTGCCTAGGCTAAAAGTCTGAGAGAATTAGTTCAATGCTTGGCCAAAGCTGGTCTGAACCTTACCAAGGAATACGGGCTCTAGATAATAAGGCAATGAAAAGGAGCTTGTTTCATGCCACCAATATTACATTATATCAGTGTGATATCATCATGATCATCAGATTAGTAAAGTCCTAAGACAGGTGCTAATATCAACTAATGATGTCACTCCAACAGCCTTGTTTACAATGATTTCTCTTTAGTCCTAAGTCAGGTGCTGATGTCACTCCAACAGCCTTGTTTACAATGATTTCTCTTTAGTCCTAAGTCAGGTGCTGATGTCACATAATGATGTCACTCCAACAACCTTGTTTACAATGATTTCTCTTTAGTCCTAAGTCAGGTGCTGATGTCATCTAATGATGTCACTCCAACAGCCTTGTTTACAATGATTTCTCCTTAGTCCTAAGTCAGGTGCTGATGTCATCTAATGATGTCACTCCAACAGCCTTGTTTACAACAACTTCTCTTTAGTCCTAATGCAGGTGCTAATGTCAACTAATGATGTCACTCCAACAGCCTTTTTTACAACAATTTTTCTTTAGTCCTAAGGCAGGTGCTAATGTGAACTAATGTTGTCACTCCAACAGCCTTGTTTACAACGATTTCTCTTTAGTCCTAAGACAGTGCTAATGTCAACTAATGATGTCATTCCAACAGCCTTGTTTACAATGATTTCTCTATAGTCCTTGTTTTGAAAAAAATGGATTCTGTCATTATCCAAGAAAATCTCTAAAAGTATTCCTGTCCCCACACATAGTAAACTTTTTGAAAACATTTAACAGCTTAGGGTATTTCAACACGTACAACAAGCACATGTTCCCACTAACTGTCCAATCGTATCCAGGAAGGCTAGACATGTGATTCATACCCTAGGCTCAGAGGCAAGTACTTCTGTAAACATTCATACAGTGAATCGAACTAATCTGGCTCAAATTAAATATAGATTTTTTTCTATTGCTAAGAAACTTGGTTTTTCTCCCTAAGGTGTCTCCATCTTGCCGTGGTGGGGGAGCTTGTGTTTCTCAATGACCTTAAGAGTTGTGCCAGCAGTAGCCAAGCTAAAAGCTGAGCCTCCCAAGCCTGAAAGGTCAAGGGTAGAGAACAGACAAAGACATCCTGGTCCTCCAGGTTGGAGGTTGAAGTGTGGGGCCGACACCCCAATAAAACTGGAACATTAAAGGCTTTTTGAGATTTGGAACATGGAGTGTATGAACCCTTTATGGAGCTGAAGCATCTGAAGAACTAACCAGTGAGTTGTCAGATTACAGAATGGATATAACAGTGATTCAAGAAATAAGGTGGCCAGGACAAGGTACCACAGAGGAAAATCGAAAAAACATAGTGTATAGTGAAAACACTAGTCACTCAAGTCCCTATCATATGCGACTGTCATCTTTGTCTGTAGTTATAATCCCTTTTTCTTGATGTAGAAGCAAACTTACAATGGAAACTGATGTCATGGTTTGGACAAAGCAATTAAAACTGTCCAGCAGTTTGGTCTGTTTAATGGAGCACTGACAGGCTTTCAGTGGATTTCTACAATTATCAGTGTCTGCTTCCTTTTTTTCCTTTTATCTCCCAAAGTAGACTGTTTGATTATTTGTTTGCATTTTGCAGCTAAAGTCAGAATCAGGCTAACTGATTCTTATGATGTACATTTTTTTTCACAGTGTCTTAATTTTTAGCTTCTCTAATAACACATCCGGGCAGTTTGCCACATCTGGAATAACACATCTGGGCAGTTTGCCACATCTGGAATAACACATCCGGGCAGTTTGCCACATCTGGAATAACACATCCGGGCAGTTTGCCACATCTGGAATAACACATCCGGGCAGTTTGCCACATCTGGAATAACACATCCGGGCAGTTTGCCACATCTGGAATAACACATCCGGGCAGTTTGCCACATCTGGAATAACACATCCGGGCAGTTTGCCACATCTGGAATAACACATCCGGGCAGTTTGCCACATCTGGAATAACATATTGCCAAATGTGTTCTGGAACATATATAAACTAATTGTAGAGTTTGAAAGAAAATCTGCACCTTTAGTACTGAAGTTTAAGATTCATAATCATTTAGTAAGGAGCATCCATCTCAGCCTGCATGACAGAATCTCAGTACCCTGAGTTCTTCTGCCTCACATTTTCACCTAAAGGTTCAGACAGACATTTACCTGACCCACCCACATGTATGATACCTGACCCACCCACATGTATGATACCTGACCCACCCACATGTAGGATACCTGACCCACCCACATGTATGATACCTGACCAACCCACATGTATGATACTGGACCCACCCACATGTATGATACCGGACCCACCCACATGTATGATACTTGACCCACCCACATGTATGATACCTGACCCACCCACATGTATGATACTTGACCCACCCACATGTATGATACTTGACCCACCCACATGTATGATACTTGACCCACCCACATGTATGATACTTGACCCACCCACATGTATGATACTTGACCCACCCACATGTATGATACTGGACCCACCCACATGTATGATACCGGACCCACCCACATGTATGATACTTGACCCACCCACATGTATGATACCTGACCCACCCACATGTATGATACTTGACCCACCCACATGTATGATACTTGACCCACCCACATGTATGATACCTGACCCACCCACATGTATGATACTTGACCCACCCACATGTATGATACTTGACCCACCCACATGTATGATACCTGACCCACCCACATGTATGATACTTGACCCACCCACATGTATGAGGGCTATTTCTATGGTTTATTATGAAACAGTCTTACCACTTGTGACCTTGCATGCAACTGGAGATTCTACATCTGTCAGAGTGACCACGGGTAATGATGTGTATTTCATTGTGAATTTGAGTTTTGATCCATCTTTACACTCAACTGTAGTCTCACACCTGAAACAACATTTGCATATCAAAGAAAGACAAATCTAGAGTGAAGGCAAAAGGAATGTTGTCCATATTGGTTGTCAGTGTTTATCACCTATTAGTGTTGTGTGGTGATAGGAAAGGTAAGAAAAACCCCCAATATATCAACAGAAAAGGAAAGGTTCCTTTACTTACTCTTGCTTTTACAGCTAAAAACAATAAATACACATTCTATCAGCAGAAACTGCCACAAATGACAAGGTAACACAAATAGTCATATTTTACTCTACAACATAAATCACATTTGGTAATCTAGTCCCTAAATGGCCTGGGCAACTGGGGTCTGGTGAAGTTGTGACAGACTCAGCAATCATCTCACGTTAAAGAAACAGTGAAAGAAATTGATAAAATTTATTTTTAAAGAACCCTAGATCTTATCAAGATAGCAAATGTGAAATAAGATGAAGTAAAAGAATAGTTACATCAGAAAGTAGGGACAGCATTTAAACAACAGGTCTTGGTTAGATATGACTGAGCTACCGTATAACAATAGCCGGTACCACCTGTTTTCTGTTCCGCCAAATGTTGGGCGGCGTATACTAACCCAACATCCCCTATTGTGCCAACGGCTTCGTGCAGAGGAGCGCATTGGAGAGGATACTAGCCTTATCCTAGGAAGAGGAAATGCAACCTGAAAACTTTTTGTTATGGCAGGGCAGACCAGGCCCTTCGCCTTGGTTGGTTGCTGGTCTAGGAGGGAAGCTCTGACAGGCGGACAGATAGAGCACTGCTCTTCTGATCCAGCAGCTTCTGCAACCTGCCTCGTTCCAAACACACACACACACACACACACTTGCAGAAACACACGCAGACATACACACACACAGGTACATTCAAATACACACGCACACACACATACAGATACATGCACACATACACACACAGAGACATGCACACACACACAGAAACACATGCATACACACATGCAGACACACACACACACACAGACAAACACAGAGACAAACAGATAAATACACACAGAGACAGACATAGAAACACACACATGCAAGCACACATACAAACAAATACACCTAAACACACACAGACACACCCACACACAAACTTTCAGACACACACTCAGACACACACACAGACACCTACACATAGACACACATGCACTAACACATGCAGACACACACATACACATAAACAAACACACACAAACACTCACAGACACACATGCAAACACACACGCATACGTACACATGGAGACAAATATGAACACACACACACACACACACACAGACAAACACACAGACATATACACAGACATATACACACACAGACAAACATAGACACACACAGAAGACACTCACATAGACACACATACAGAGACACACACAGAAACATACAGACATAGACACAAACAAAGCAAGGCACACACATACAAACACAGACACGCAGACACAGACACATTCATGTAGACACAAACAGACACACCCACACAGAGACACACTCACACACAAACCACACATATATACTACACATTTGCATGTCACACAAACATGCATACATACACATCATACACACCTTATTTAATTATAAACTGATAATACAAAATATATAAATAATTACATTTAAGGTGGCATATAACCATTTGAAAGCAAGAACTGAAAAAGTTTGCGATTTAATGAATAGGAACACTTTCTAATTTTCAGATCAAGTGTAAGCTGGTTTCATAAATAAGCAGCAGAATATGCTAAACTTGTTTTTAAAAAAATCTTTTCTAAGTTTAGGCAAATGTAATAAACTTAGTCGCTTGGAATTAAACAACCCGAAAAGGTAGTTTGGAGTTTTTTGAGATACATTAAATTTAGCCTTGTTAAAAATTAAATGTTTAATAAATGGTAGAAGTTTTAGATGTCTATAGAGATGATTTTTTGTACATGTTTTCTATCTGAAACGAAGCGTACAACACGATTTTGAAGGAAACCTAGTCTTTTAAAATTTGATTTGGCACAACCATCGCAAACTGTGGAACAATAGTCGACGTGTGTGGATGTAAGTAAAATATGGGAAAAGAACTCATATTTTTACAGACCATCGGCACAAGGTGGGTAATGTGGTCAGCATTACGCTAGCTGTCTTTACTTCCCCAGGACAGTCATCCTGGTACCCATTTTAGGCTGGGTCGACCTGCAATGCCTTATACCATAATAAAAATCCACGCAGCCAGCAGTGGGTTTCGATCATGGTATACTGGAATTATGAGTCGATCTCGCAATGCCTAAGCCATGGACACCGCACGATGGGGAAACAGAGGGAATGAGATTTTAAAGTTGTTTACTATAAGAAATGGCTGATTCACAGAATCAGTGTCACTGATACATACCTTTGTGCTCTATCTCTCAGCAGATGTTTGTGACGACACCTGTTAAAGACATAAATAAGGTGACGTCTAACACAGCATGTGTGAACACACAAAACTTACTCAGGCTGCACTTGTAATGGAAATGAAGACAAATTGATCTCATTTTGTTCCAAAGTAGTGCTGGTGATCAACCGCATACACTTGCTCTTGACTCTGATCTACATGAACAAAACATTCACAGTACAGAAACTAGACCAGCATACAAATATATTACCATTAACTGGAAGCTAATTCGATTATAACTAAAAGTATGTGAAGCAAGTAACCTCAGCAAGTCAAGGGTGCTATGAACTCTCTGTCCCCTAGCTAGTTGAAGGATAGAGGAATTAAATCATATTAACAATAACAACAACAACAAAAGAAAACATAAGACCAGGGTAAACTACCAGTGTAATAAAAAGTAATTAAAACCATCTTTTCCATAAATTACATAAAGTAACCAATGCTAATAAAAATTCTAATGGCTGTGAGGAGGCAAAAGTCAGTTGGAATGATGATGATGATTATTTACATCTAATAAACGTGTTAAAATCAATGCAACACAACAATATATTCAAAGTAAATGCATTTGTTCAACTGATATTGGAGGAAATTAAAGGAAAAGTCCATGCTATCAACTCTGTAAATATAGGAAATGCATACAATGCATAAAAAAAGTGAACAACAACAGCTACGAAAAAAAGCAAACATGAGATAAAGTTAAAAAATTTAATAATATCTAAGAAGTATATTCTTGGATAACATGAGAAAAGACAGGGAAATAGAAACAAGATGCCAACGAGCCTGTGAACTTATATACCAGCTGACAGTATTACTAAGATATTTGACCGTATGTATGAGCGCCAAGAAACAGATCATAAACAGCATTTTCATACCAGAACTGTGCTACCAGTGCCAGACTTGGACATTATGAAAGGCTAACCTACGTAAAATTAACATATGTGAAATGAGATGCCAGAAAAAAGCTGCCAACATATCCGAGGCATATCAGACAGACAGTAGGAACAACAGCATGCAGCAAATTCATTGAGCAACAGAAGATAAAATGGTCTGGTCATCTAGTAAGAATGCAACCAGAACTACTACCAATGCAGGCACTACAATGAAAAAATATAAAGTGACAGCAAGAGGTCGGCCTAGGAGGATACGGACTGATGACATTAAAGAGCTTTTACATCGACACAGAATGAAAATAGCCATTGCTGCCCATCAAACAATGGATCGTTAACTGTTCCTCCCCACAACACTCAACTGCAGAAGTGGAAACTGATGATGATGAATTTAATTCACCTTTTCTGTAGCCAAGTTGTAAATGAAGAATGAACACACATCATCCCATTCTTCAGTTGCTGGAACTTCATGTGTCTGCCGCTTGCGTGGACCGATGTTGAGAACAGTGTATCGAATGTCTTCTGGAGCTTCACAAAGATCAATACCAGTTTTATTATACTGTACTGTACTGTAATATTAGACTGTATTGTACTGTAATATTAGACTGCATTGTACTGTAATATTAGACTGTATTGTACTGTAATATTAGACTGGATTGTACTATAATATTAGACTGTATTGTACTGTAATATTAGACTGTATTGTACTGTAATATTAGACTGTATTGTACTGTAATATTAGACTGTATTGTACTGTAATATTAGACTGTATTGTACTGTAATATTAGACTGTATTGTACGGTAATATTAGACTGTATTGTACGGTAATATTAGACTGTATTGTACTGTAATATTAGACTGTATTGTACTGTAATATTAGACTGTATTGTACTGTAATATTAGACTATTATACTTCACACAAAAATGAACATAAGTTCTGATCTGCGTTCACTTCAGATAAAAAATACTGCAATGTAAAATGCTTTAATTTAGCATACCCAGAGTAAACTAAAAGAAACACATCATGTTAATTTTCTGAACTTCCACCCTAAGAAAGAAAAAAAAAAGCAGAAGAAATGTGGAGTCTTAGTAAGGCTGAAACCTCTGACCACCAAGCAGACAGGCAAGTCTGATAACAACTGCATCTTTATAGATTGGGAGTTGCCGTTGCCGAGTGGCTAGATGCTCGCCACGGATTGGAAGGTTGTGGGTTCACTTTTTTCAAAAATGACCTTGGCTCCCAGGTTGACCCAGCCTTGAGTGGGTACCAGATGCAGTCCCGGGAAGTAAAGGCGGCCGGTGTGATGCCAACCCCATCACCCATCTTGTGCCGATTGGTCTATAAAAATATAGGGCTAGCCCTAAAAGCCCTATATGCCTCATGGCGTGGAAAAGGGTCCTTTACTTTATAATGACTTTTTTACATTATAGATTAATAAAACCATATTCCCAATAGTCAGTTTTATTTAAAGAGATGAGGTAATTGCATATTACAACAGGTGCAAAGAATGAACTGCTTTCACTCCCTTTGACCACAAAAAGATGTTTTGTTGAAATGGCCATATGTGAAATCAATACTGCTGTATGGAGTGGAAATATAGAGAACAACTAAACCAATTACAACATAAAACAAGTGCCATACTGGCAATAAAAGATTTGCTTACTAGCATTTCTTGGTGGATAGCCCTTGATATGAACAGTCAGCACTCCTTGAGCTGAAAGTTGCCAGAAAAGAGATTATGTGTTCTGCTTAACTGAAATGTTGATAATTGTCACAGATTTATCTTCAACAGACAGTATAAAACAAACAAGACCAGCAAAGAATTTAAAAACTATAAATATGTGATTCTTTTTTCAATTTTTTCGTTTCCACCCTTTATATAGTACAGTGGAACCTTGCTTAACGAGCATAATTCGTTCCAGAATCATACTCGTTGAGCGAAACACTTGTTATGCGAAACCATGTTTCTCATATAAATTAATGTAAAATACGATAATGCGTTCCATGTCGAAAAAATACAATATGCTATGTAAAACGTTTATTCAAAGAAAATGTTATCCATATTGTTAAGGAGAGTGAATCCTCTTCAACTTTTCTTCAAATGCGGAATGAACCCACCTGGAATGCGAATTCGATTAGCTGACAAAAAAAGTCGAAATAATTATGATACATAGCAAATTATTTTTTTTTTACTAGAAAGATGTCCAGACACATTTGTTTTTGCTGACGCTTCAAATTTGCTTTTCTGTTACCTCCTCCTCCTCCTCTGACAAACTTTCTCCCAAAACTTCTTGCTGTGAAAAACAATACAACTCCATAAGCTCTTGGGAGGTCAGCTCTTGGCTGTGCTCTTCCACAAGCTCTTCGATATCACTGTTATCCACCTCCATGAAAGTGGCCAAAGACACAATCTCGTTGACTACAGGTACTGTCTCGAACCTCTCAAAGTCACAAATCGACAACGCTCTCTGGCCAAAGCTTCTTCCAAGCAGAAGTTAGGGTTCTCTTAGTAACCTCTTCCCTCGCCTTGTCAATCATCCTGAGGCAGGCGATGTGGAAGTGGTTTTTCCAAAACTGAGAGTGAGGTTGATCCCTACAGTCCCCTGAAAACAATTCTCAAAGAGTGCTTTAGTGTAGAGCTTCTTAAAGTTAGAAGTAACTTGCTGGTCATGGGCTGGAGTAACGGAGTGGTGTTCGGAGGCAGAAACTGGATCTTGATGAACTTAATTCTTCAGAGAGGTCATCTTGTAGGCCTAGAGGATTCATGTACATAAATCACAATATAACAAAAGTTTGAGAAAATGTGTGATCACAAGCAACAATACGATGCTACTGGAACGAGTGTTAAACACAGACTGATGTAACATGCGCACAATTCAGGACTTCTCTTCTCCTCGCCACTCGTTATGCGAAACGTCGTTCATTAAGCAAGATATTTTTTAACAATTTGTTTGGCTCGTTATGCGAATTACTTGTTATGAAAGGTGCTCGTTAAGCGAGGTTCTACTGTATGTTGATCCACAAAGGTTTTATGGATTTATCCAGTAATTAAGAAATTTAAATTACATGTAAAGGTAAAGTCGGGAGATGTGAACCAGCATCATTGCACACGGTTATAAACCATTATTGCTCTGCCACCAGTACGGACAGCTGATAAGAATTGTCCGCCGGTGTCGCCATCTGCACATAACTCTGTTGCTACAGCATTGTTCCTCCATTTACCCCAGAGTGTCAACTCTGGTACCCATTTCCTAGAGGCTGGGTGAACCCCGGGAGCTGCCCGGTTTCGAACACCGACTGTGGGCTGCAGCGAGTCGCAGCTGGATTTGAAAGCGAGCCTCTTATCGACTGCGCTAACACGGCCCCCTTATTACATGTTAAACTAGTTAACCTTATTGTACTTGGGACTCATCCATTTGCTTAATTTTCTCTTAGCAGATGTTAGGGTTTCTCAGCAGAAGTTGAAGTCTCTCAGCAGATGTTGAGGCCTCTCAGCAGATGTTGGGGCCTCTCAGCAGATGTTGGGGCCTCTCAGCAGATGTTGGGGCCTCTCAGCAGATGTTGGAGTCTCTCAGCAAATGTTGGAGTCTCTCAGCAGATGTTGGAGTCTCTCAGCAGATGTTGGAGTCTCTCAGCAGATGTTGGAGTCTCTCAGCAAATGTTGGAGTCTCTCAGCAAATATTGGAGTCTCTCAGCAAATGTTGGAGTCTCTCAGCAGATGTTGGAGTCTCTCAGCAAATGTTGGAGTCTCAGCAGATGTTGGAGTCTCTCAGCAGATGTTGGAGCCTCTCAGCAGATGTTGGAGTCTCTCAGCAAATGTTGGAGTCTCTCAGCAGATGTTGGAGTCTCTCAGCAAATGTTGGAGTCTCTCAACAACAAGAAAAGGCAGGCAGGCAGGCAGGCAGGCACGCACGCACGCACACACAGAGAGAGAGAGAGAGAGAGAGAGAGAGAGTTTGGGAAAGACTGTTCTAAAAAAAGCACATTCTGGGAGTCAGACACACTGGTGGCTCCTCAATGGAGTATTAGATAACAAAGAGACCATGCACATAACTAGAAAAGGAACCAAATACACAGGGCACACAGAGGAATAATTCTTCATGATCAAGCTTCAATTTGGAGAATGCATCTGATGATGATGAGATTTTCTTTGCTATTATCACAACAGCATTGGTATTAAACTACAGTTAAATCTGCACAATGTACAATGAAGGGGTTAGCATAGATCTGTCACTTCGAACTGAGATCTGTTTGAGACAGGCTATACCATGTAGTATACCTGGAGACTATATGTACATGGAATACTTATCAAAATATATATTGTACATTAGATTATTTTTCAAATCAACTCCTTCTGGTATTAAAAACACAGTTGACTAAAAAACAGGGAAACAAACAAAAAATCATTTTTTTTTTAAATCAAACTAAAAGACTGAGGCTACCTTTGACTTTTTTGGAAGCATTCTGTCCCATAAGAGTGGGGCCAACTTTCTCAATCTGTATATCCACACTGGCTGGATCCACCATAGCTGAGGATAAACAAATACGTGCATCAGATCTCACTTTTATCCATCTGTATAAAAAAAATTGGTCTGTCACAATCAGGGCTGCCAAAATGTTTTTTTTTTTGAAAGGGGGGGGGGGAGAATAGTTTTTTGGAAGATTACTAAAACATACCAAAAGGTATTAAATGTTCAATATAGAACAGGTTTCTCTTTCAGCTGACTCGGTTTCTCACTTGTATCAGGAGGGAGAATTTAAACACACACACCACCATAGTGTGTGAAAAAGAAACCTGTTCCACGACATCATAAAGTCAGAGAGGTAGTTGCAGTTAATCTATAAGCTAGCTCACTGCTCAAAGAGAGAGAGAGCTGCAGTTAATCTATAAGCTAGCTCCCTGCTCAAAGAGAGAGCTGCAGTTAATCTATAAGCTAGCTCCCTGCTCAAAGAGAGAGCTGCAGTTAATCTATAAGCTAGCTCCCTGCTCAAAGAGAGAGCTGCAGTTAATCTATAAGCTAGCTCACTGCTCAAAGAGAGAGAGAGCTGCAGTTAATCTATACGCTAGCTCACTGCTCAAAGAGAGAGCTGCAGTTAATCTATAAGCTAGCTCCCTGCTCAAAGAGAGAGAGAGAGAGAGAGCTGCAGTTAATCTATACCCTAGCTCCCTGCTCAAAGAGAGAGAGAGCTGCAGTTAATCAAACGCTAGCTCACTGCTCAAAGAGAGAGAGAGAGCTGCAGTTAATCTATACGCTAGCTCACTGCTCAAAGAGAGAGCTGCAGTTAATCTATAAGCTAGCTCCCTGCTCAAAGAGAGAGAGAGAGAGAGAGCTGCAGTTAATCTATACCCTAGCTCCCTGCTCAAAGAGAGAGAGAGCTGCAGTTAATCTATAAGCTAGCTCACTGCTCAAAGAGAGAGCTGCAGTTAATCTATACACTAGCTCACTGCTCAAAGAGAGAGCTGCAGTTAATCTATAAGCTAGCTCCCTGCTCAAAGAGAGAGCTGCAGTTAATCTATAAGCTAGCTCCCTGCTCAAAGAGAGAGAGAGAGAGAGAGCTGCAGTTAATCTATAAGCTAGCTCCCTGCTCAAAGAGAGAGAGAGAGCTGCAGTTAATCAAACGCTAGCTCACTGCTCAAAGAGAGAGCTGCAGTTAATCTATAAGCTAGCTCCCTGCTCAAAGAGAGAGCTGCAGTTAATCTATAAGCTAGCTCACTGCTCAAAGAGAGAGAGAGAGCTGCAGTTAATCTATACGCTAGCTCACTGCTCAAAGAGAGAGCTGCAGTTAATCTATAAGCTAGCTCACTGCTCAAAGAGAGCGCTGCAGTTAATCTATAAGCTAGCTCCCTGCTCAAAGAGAGAGCTGCAGTTAATCTATACGCTAGCTCACTGCTCAAAGAGAGAGCTGCAGTTAATCTATACACTAGCTCACTGCTCAAAGAGAGAGCTGCAGTTAATCTATAAGCTAGCTCACTGCTCAAAGAGAGAGCTGCAGTTAATCTATACGCTAGCTCACTGCTCAAAGAGAGAGCTGCAGTTAATCTATAAGCTTGCTCCCTGCTCAAAGAGAGAGAGAGCTGCAGTTAATCTATAAGCTAGCTCACTGCTCAGAGAGGTAGCTGCAGTTAATCTATAAGCTAGCTCACTGCTCAGAGAGGTAGCTGCAGTTAATCTATAAGCTAGCTCACTGCTCAAAGAGAGAGCTGCAGTTAATCTATACGCTAGCTCACTGCTCAAAGAGAGAGCTGCAGTTAATCTATAAGCTAGCTCACTGCTCAAAGAGAGAGCTGCAGTTAATCTATACGCTAGCTCCCTGCTCAAAGAGAGAGCTGCAGTTAATCTATACGCTAGCTCACTGCTCAAAGAGAGAGCTGCAGTTAATCTATAAGCTAGCTCACTGCTCAAAGAGAGAGCTGCAGTTAATCTATAAGCTAGCTCACTGCTCAAAGAGAGAGCTGCAGTTAATCTATACACTAGCTCACTGCTCAAAGAGAGAGCTGCAGTTAATCTATAATCTAGCTCTTTGCTCAAAGAGAGAGCTGCAGTTAATCTATAAGCTAGCTCCCTGCTCAAAGAGAGAGAGAGAGAGCTGCAGTTAATCTATAAGCTAGCTCCCTGCTCAAAGAGAGAGAGAGCTGCAGTTAATCAAACGCTAGCTCACTGCTCAAAGAGAGAGCTGCAGTTAATCTATAAGCTAGCTCCCTGCTCAAAGAGAGAGCTGCAGTTAATCTATAAGCTAGCTCACTGCTCAAAGAGAGAGAGAGCTGCAGTTAATCTATACGCTAGCTCACTGCTCAAAGAGAGAGCTGCAGTTAATCTATAAGCTAGCTCACTGCTCAAAGAGAGAGCTGCAGTTAATCTATAAGCTAGCTCCCTGCTCAAAGAGAGAGCTGCAGTTAATCTATACGCTAGCTCACTGCTCAAAGAGAGAGCTGCAGTTAATCTATACACTAGCTCACTGCTCAAAGAGAGAGCTGCAGTTAATCTATAAGCTAGCTCACTGCTCAAAGAGAGAGCTGCAGTTAATCTATACGCTAGCTCACTGCTCAAAGAGAGAGCTGCAGTTAATCTATAAGCTAGCTCCCTGCTCAAAGAGAGAGAGAGCTGCAGTTAATCTATAAGCTAGCTCACTGCTCAGAGAGGTAGCTGCAGTTAATCTATAAGCTAGCTCACTGCTCAGAGAGGTAGCTGCAGTTAATCTATAAGCTAGCTCACTGCTCAAAGAGAGAGCTGCAGTTAATCTATACGCTAGCTCACTGCTCAAAGAGAGAGCTGCAGTTAATCTATAAGCTAGCTCACTGCTCAAAGAGAGAGCTGCAGTTAATCTATACGCTAGCTCCCTGCTCAAAGAGAGAGCTGCAGTTAATCTATACGCTAGCTCACTGCTCAAAGAGAGAGCTGCAGTTAATCTATAAGCTAGCTCACTGCTCAAAGAGAGAGCTGCAGTTAATCTATAAGCTAGCTCCCTGCTCAAAGAGAGAGCTGCAGTTAATCTATACGCTAGCTCACTGCTCAAAGAGAGAGCTGCAGTTAATCTATTAACTAGCTCACTAGTACGTACACAAATATCCTAGGCACAAAATCGATAATCAGCTTCTTATCAGAGTGTTATCAAGTAACACAAGCCACTCTGAGCAGAAGTCACCAGTTTTTATTTTCCAAAGCATGCTGTGCAAGTCAGTTATAATTATAGCATGTCAAACTGTATTACTCTCCAGCCATTTAAAAAAGCTGCCATTACTGCTTCCACCTCCATTCATATGCTAGATGTTGTGATTTTTTTTTTTTTTTTCAAAGCATCTTCCATTTGTCTCTGCACTGAAACCTATCCATTTGTTTTATCTCATCAGTGTTTATAATGATATCAGTTCGAAGTGAATTGTCATTGATCAGTTCCTGTACCAATGCTTCAGTTTCCTCAGCCTTCTATTCCCAACACATTTGGTCCAAAGTAACTGTCACTCTATGCAGGGCTCCTGAGCTTTTCATGATTCAATTGCTGAGTGTCATTTTTCTGTCCAAGTTAATTACTGCCTACTTCATACTTCTTGAGGTAATTTGTGAGCCTGTAATCTTTTGTTTTTTCCCCTTTTTTAACATATACATATGAGTGAATTATTACAAAATATCTTAAGCTTCATACTCTCTTAAGCAGCAAAACCAACTGGGACTAGAGTTAATCACATAATGATTTACTTATTCTCCTTTGTGTGTAAATGGCAATCTGGCCCCATCTCACTGACACTGACAGTTTTTTATGTAAACTGTTGCCTAAACACCCCCCAATGGATTTATGAGTAATATTTGTGAAACTTTCATTTTTGTACAAATGTGTAGATTAACACTATTACAGCAATAGTCAGCCATCTCTAGGGCAGGAAGCCATCAATCGTTCCCCCACTAGGGAAGTGTAATGGTGATCACCTGACTGCCAAGAAATGTTCTAGCACTCATTCCATGAAGCTGTGTCACATAAATGCATGTGGTCACACACAAAAATCCTACCTCAGTTAGGTCGTAAAGCCAGCAGGCAAATGCTTAAACCATTGAGTTTTCAATATAATTTCTGCATATTACAATGTGTAACTTATGGAAAAAAATGTTTAAAATATTAACCTTTTGTAAGTCCCTCCATAACATTGTTGTGTATCCAGGATTTCAAGAGAGGTATTTCCATCAAACTCAAGGCTTTCAGCATACGAATATTGAATGTGACATCTGGTCTGAAGATACAAGAACACCTTAATGACAATTTTTAGTCAACTCAACAACATATCAGCACAGATCTCTCAGTATAATGTTACAAAACATTTGTCAACAAGTTCCCATTTGTTGCTCAAGCATGATCGCGTATGCGCGCACGCATGCACACACGCACGCACGCACACACACAACACACACAAATAGAGAAAACCATCAGCATCACCAAGTATTATTTGTATCAGCCTGTTAAATTTGTTTTGTAACTTTCTCTATCATTTCATGAGGTGCTATATGTGTTTTTCTTTGTCTAATGTTCTCTTTTTAACACTAGTATGCCTTCTGGTGTCCCCATGTGCATTGTTCCATGTCTGAGAAAATGAACAGGTCATGAGAGAAAAACTGTGATGGCTTTAATGGCAAAAAAAGTAAATAAGACAACAGATAACAAAGACATTACCTTTCTTTGAATGAAATTGTTGCTTTTGTCACATGTGGAAAAGGTACATCCATGGATAAGCAAAACACTGCCTGAACGGTTCCACTTAAATGTAAGTCTTCCACCACGAGATCAAAGCCCACACTTACCCTACAGAAAGCAGAAATACACAAACATTAATAAAGAGGTTGGGGATAGCTATACCACGTTCCATAGCCCCATGGACAAGCAACATGCTCATTATGAGTATATTTGTGTTTCCCAAGACTGGCCTCTGCTTATCTACCTGCTTTATGTGGATTTATTCAGATTCTCTTGCAATCCTGAAGTAGAGTATTTAATCTTCAGTAAACTTTATCACCATAAATAATGCTTCTCTGATTTGCCAGTCACATATCAGGGTAGATAATGCTCCACAAGAGGGCAAAGATAAGCCATGATCACACCAGTGCCTATATGACTAAACATTATACTGAGTCAAACTGTGGGTCAAAGTATGGCATCCATCTTGTACTGATTAGTTTGATATACATAAGTCATAACTGCTTTTTTGAACAAAATGGTTAAGAAAATGCTTTTCAAGGTCTCATAAATTTCCTATCAATTCAGTTAAAAGTAGTTATCTGTGATTTAAATTCGGGAAGCAGCATCAAATAAGGAAGTAAGTAAACTCATCTTAAACTGCAGAGATCCAGTCAACATTTTACAAATGTGACTAACATCATCTGTGGCTTACTGACTTATAAACAAAAAACCTGACAGACTTATCAATCCTGCAGCATACTCAACAACATCATATGACGAAGTCAGCAGGAGTTGGTACTACCTGTTCTCTGTTACCACTTAATGCTGGACAGCGTTTGCAGAACCTGATATCCTCATTAGTCATTAGTCAAGGTTCCAACATCATTGCAGATGGGCTGCTCCGTTCCTGTGCCAGTGGAAATCACACAATACGCCATTCACTGTCCAATTTGAAAACTAGTAAACAATTTGTCAGTCCCAGTAAGATCCTAAAGCTTGCAAACGCAAGAAAAAATGCATAAGGCGGCTGTTAGATGTGCCAACAAAAATGGTCTCATACAAGAATTGCAGCTCACTGATGGCGCAAATGGTCCTTTACGAAAGCTGGCATTATACCTGTGAAAGTACATGCTATTATGAACGTAATCAGCCATCCACCATTTCAGTGCAGTCAACATGTGGCAGCACAAAAGAACCAAAAAAAATTTCAAAGAAATCCACAGCTTACAGTGTTACACCAAGCACTCATCTCAGCAGTTGGGTGATGAAATCTAATATGCTACATTGTGACAACACCTTTGGGCAGAGCAGCACATTGGAGGAGAATATCAGCCTTATCCTAGGAGAAGAAATGCAGTCTGAAAATAACAATATGCTGGGCAGACAAGGCTCTTAGCCTTGGTTTGGAGCTGGTTTAGGAGGAGTGCTTGAAAGCTATGATAGACAGATCACTGCAATTCTTATTTTACAGCTTCCGCAGAAAAGATTATTTATTAAATATTTTTACAAACATATTGGTGTTATCTTTCTATTTAGAGTTTTAGCAAGCAGACAGAGGGATCACTGCATGGGCAACACATTATTTCTACAATGCTGCCCAAGCTTTGAGAGGTGACCATGGGCTGAAGGTCCTGTGCTACACAATATAATACTACTGTCTGGAAAGGTGCCAACAACAATACAAGATAGGCTTTAAATGTTAGAGAACATATTTCAGTTTGTCCTCTTTATCAAGAAGCCTGAAACCAGTTACTGTCATCAGCTGCCACAATGGTAAACCAACTTCGTGGATACAAAAAGTGTATTAAACAGACAGGATATTGTACAAACAAGGTATTAAACAAGCAGCAAGTATTAGCCAGAAAAACAATGTAGAAGTCACAGACTAGAAGCCATGGAAGATGAAATAAATAAAGAAATGTTGTCTACTATATACCTCCATGATAATACTTGCTACAAAATACACTGTTTGCTGTACCCAACTGATTGACTCGAGATTCAAATCCATATTTCTGCTGACCTCATATTTCTCTAAATCATCTAAAGCTTGAATGTTTGTGGGTTCCTTCCTTAGACATGGATCATGATTTTTTCTTCCTTTTCTGCTTCTTCTTCTGTGTGTTCTTCTGCTCTTTATCCCTTATTGGAGTGGAGCAATACCCCCCCCCCCCACCCCGCCCAACCCAAAAAAAATCCCCAACCAACCCTTTGCTATCACATGCAGCTCTCACTTTGTCCAGCTCCTCTTGTTAACTTCACTGGAATTTTAGTTCTTCCTGAAAGCTCTACATTAGTGATTCTATCATACCACTCACATACCTCTGTTGTGATGCACAGGCACCAGTTAAAGAATGTTAATAGTTTATAAGTAAGTGTTTTAGTTGCTCTCCATGTTTCCACTCCAAATAGAAGTACTGATTTGACATTACAGTTAAATATTTTAAATTTAGTACTAGTTTTAACTTTCTTTGACTTCCATAGATAACTCCTCTTACCAAACTTGTTTTCCAATATGGTGGGGTATTGCTGTGTTTTTGCTAATGAGCCATGACTCTGCTTTTATCGGGTGTATTTCACTTGGACATATAATAATCACTTCTAAAGCAGCACAAAAGTCTGTTACACTGCAAGATATCTATCTGCTCCAGGTCATTGTAGTAATTATGGGCTGTGCTTTTAATATGTTGCGTTGTGTCCGGCATTAGCGACAACAGTCACACCTGCGGCAAGTTGTATGTAAAAATGTCATTACAGGATTCTTGATTTTGTCATGGAGTGTGTGTTTTTGAGCTGTGATCTTCTTCACTTGCTCTACATACATGTAATAGTAACGTCCACTCAAACAGGACAAGGCGCCGTAAATGCGCTGAAAATTTCAATGAAATACACATATCAAGATCTACTCATAACAAACACCTTTTTAAACAAAAAAACACAGAGTTAACATAAACTGAATAATTTGATGCAAGATTGATTTTATATGAGCCAAAAACAAAATATAATTGAATAATCCAGAGGTTGCAGATGGTGAAAGCCACATGGATATTTTGCCCAGGCTATTCAGGTGTGTTTGGGAATGAGCAGGCAGACAAGCTGGCTGGAATGAAGCCATTTTTGGGTTTACGCAAGTGCACAAGGCAGGGTGATCTCAAACCTGTAGGTCAAGGTAACAGGTGAAATAGAACATACTGAAAACCCCTACCTCAAGAGAATGATACAGCGAGGAGTGGCTGTGGGCTCTGGGCACCTCTCAAGACTCAGAGGCGAGACAAGACGACTAGTTAACCAGATGAAAACATGTACCATCAGTGTGAATAATCTTTTCTGTCTGTTGAGGAGGGAGACGGAGCTAATCTGGGTTTGTCCTGAGTGCTGTGATGTCAAATATTACCCAGATGAACCTAGATATAATTGAATTATGCCAGAAATGTTCCAAAACCAAATGAAGATTTGGACCACACATTACAGCATAAATAAGTAGAAACAGAAAAACTGAATGTAAATACATTTTAAACAATAATATTCTGTACTGGTTGATTATATGTTTAAATCCATCATAATCTGAAGCTTGAATGAATAATGAATTAAGAATCGACATCACAGCACTTGGGACAACCCCCTCACCCCCACCCCATCACAGCACTGCATAATCTGATGCTTAGATATCTTTTCAAAGACGAAACGGTGAAAAGATTATATTCAAGCAGACCTACAAACACTCTGAGCAAGCACTCACACAGATGAACAGAGGTAGGTAATATCTGCAACAATGGACCTCAAGGGCTCAGAATGCTGAAGAAGAAGTGTAAGAAAAGAAAAGATGATGCTTTGTGAAGACAGAAAATTCTGATTTCCAACAACTCTCAGAAGAAACAATATGTGTTGAAAAGGAATGGATTTGTATAAACACACAATTTTGAAAGCAGGAATAAAGTTGGAACATTTGTTATTTTATTTTCAACTGTGCCGTCTACACAATGGAGGATGGTTGCCACGCATCTACTGCTGTCCTCGGTGAAGCCCCAATTGTGTAACTCTGCCACTTTTTAAGAGCTAGAAGAATTATTTTTCAAAATCACATACTGCAGAAATTGAATCTAAGAATGATAAAGATTGGATTTTCACATTTTTCTAAGCCAAAAGGCCACACATTAGCAAATTATTCAACAACAACAACGTCTAAGTAGAAATGAAATACAAAAACCTGTGAAGGAGAATTAGATCAACTATATATGTATACAAAATAAAGAAGAACAATACTGAATTTAAGATAGAAAAAATAAATTAATTAAAGCGAAAAATCAATCAAGCAACAGAAAAATTTTTTGGAAAGTAAGTACAAAGATCCAAGCCTCAGATTAGGACTTGTCAAGAAAAATATAACCCATAGCTCAATATGGAAAAATAGTAACATAACATAACAAATATTTGACTCTGTTACAGAAAGAAATAACAGCAATACAAAAAAAAAAAACAGCAAAATAACTTCTGTGTGGGTCGCTGAGTCTCCATTTTTCAGTCAAAATGATTTTCTAATTTCTAATGTAGATGTCGTAGTCCTGCTGGTGCTTCCATCAAGGTTAAATTTGCACTCTTCAATAACCATGTAAAAACTTGTAGCATTTTGTCCAGTTTCTGAAGATTTCCATTCATTTTGTTGTAAATATACTCCTTCTGTATTCCAAAAGAAAAGTAGATGTGTTCTACCTATGACTGCTTAGTGAATTTCTGAATGTTTTTTTTTTTTTTTTCACTGACCGGGTTTTTTGGGGGGTTTTATTCTCTAACTGTATATATTATTTTTATTTTGTCGAGGTTTAGTTTCAGGTATGTGGTACTGTAGTCTGACCTGGTAGTGGAGTACTGTCCAGTGTAAGAATGTCATTTTTCGATATGGTTAACAAAGTGAAAAGTCAGGGGTTTAAACATGTCAGGTTACATAACATCAGGTTATGGTTTACTCACTGACTTTATAATTTCCCGCTTTTGACTTCAGCAATTCAAGTATAATAATCAGAGAAAGGCTAAGTAACAATGATAGCAGCATCAGTGGATACTGATGATAGCTTTTAAAAGTTGCCTATGAAGATAATTAACAGTGTTGGCAATAGGTTTATTACTTGCAGATTCTTTCTGATATCTTTCAATGGAGGAAACTGTCACATTTTTCCTTGAAGACAATTATTTATCCACTAGAGCATCCAACATTCAATTCATTTATGAATCAACAAGATTTTAAAAAAAGGGACCCTTTCATTTCTTGATAAGTATCGATGTGCAGTTTTATTTCAAAAAAATTATAATTGTCGTTAACTTAGAAGCTAGCTTTTTATAGTAATTCAGAAGTATTTCTAATCAATCTTTCTGTTATTTCTCCCTGATAACTTCACAGACTGGAGATAATAAATTATACTATTAAATGTACATCACCCACCTTGTGCCAATTGGTCTATAAAAATATAGGTCTAGCCCTATATGCCCTATACGCCTTAAGGCGTGGAAAAGGGTCCTTTACTTTTTTTTTGCTGTTAAATGTTTATATCTGATTCTCCGCAATTAGTAGTATTTTATGATTTTGCTATTTTTTAAGAAAAATAGCTTATATTCTTTTTTTGTGGAAGAGATTTAACATTCTAGTCTGTCCATGATATGAAAACACTGAATCATTTAATTTACTGCTGCATCTGGTTCAGTAACCTGACTCATTTCTCACTTCTAGATTTATCTGTTTAACTGTGATATGTGTTTTCATAGTGAGTTCATTTATCCTGATATAAATGCTGATCTATTTCTCTACATGTCTGACTTGTGCAGTTCACACTTTTGTCACCATTTTTATCTTTATTGTGCTTTCTTCAATGTAATATTTACAAGTGCATTTGCAGGCTTGAGGATAAACTAATAATGGTAATGACTGGTGTTCCACCTTTTTTGTTGTTGATCAAAAACTCATGGTTGTTTTAGAAAATATACAACTGCTCACAGGCTATTTCAACAGCACATGTCGCAATTACAGGATAACAAGTAATGTAACCCCCCCCCCCCCCCCCCCCCCTCCCCAAAGCAAGCACACACACACACACACACACAAATAAGATGATCACGCAAAAAGACACAGCAACAATGAATTCAAGTGAAATCAAAACTTACTGCAAATAAGAGTCATAATAAGTGAAGCATAATTTCATTAGACGGTAAAATTTAATACAAATACAAGAAAACCATCATATCAAGTGACAGGACAGAATATTTAGCCCTGGAGACTGGATAAGCGACAAGTTACTCCACCATAAACCTAACCTTGTGACCACAGAGTCAAACGAATACTTAGGAAATACATGTGTTTTTTCCTGTGCTTCTACATCAGCAAAGAGGATTAACATAATTTTATAGCAGGCTAGCCTGTGATACCAGAAGGGGAAAAAACTGGAATATTAATTTCTGACTTGTAAAAACAAAAAGGGAAGTAAAATGGTCTGATGTGTATCATGATTACCAAATAGTATTCCACAGAAAGAATATCACTCAGTTACAAAGACAAACAAGTATAAGGCCACACCCAAAGAGCTGGTTGGATAAATGATATAATAGAGGTAATGAACACCAGAATATGAGGCACATACCAGAGTTCATTCCAGAACTCTTTTGGCATCTGTTGCTGAGAAAATATGAAAATATAGAAGCACTAATGCACTGTAACTCCTCTTTTTAAACAAAACCATTTTTCATGTTCTCAATTTACACTTATTTTTTTTTCACCAGAGAAAAAAACAAAACAAATGGTACAAACTGGGAAGCATAGTTTTTCTTTCCCAAATCTTCTACTAAAATCTTCTCTCACTTCACATCAAATTTATCTGATTTCATTCTCAAAGTCTGACAAAGATGTTCACATATCCATTCTCTGATTTTGGCAATGATTTCCTCATTAAGAACAGAAACTTGGCATCCCAGCCCAGCTATAACCCTAGTCATTTCCATGCCAGTTTTGAATTGTGAATACCATCTGAATATCTCTGCACAAGATAAACCTGATCCATATCAGTGTGTCTCATCATCATCAACTAAATTTGCCTTAAAAGTACTTTTTTCGAGTTAAAACATAACTTACTGTTTAGTCTTTACGCCATGCTGCATATGTAACCAAACACCTTTCACTAGCTAAACAAAATGATGGGTGCACTGCCATCTGGTGACCAGACAGCAGTGCAATTTTGCCAGATCATATATGAATTTTGCAAACAGCAACAATAAATGAACCATGACATCATACATTTTCATTTTGTGTTACATATGTTTCTTAGTTTCTAGTACAATTTAAGTCTAGTGAAAGCAGCACTCTGTAGAAATGGTACTTTACAGTTATTTGGATCTACATGCAAGGAAATCAGACAAGCCATTCAAGTATCACATGCTGAGGTAATCTGTCTTATAATTTCATGAAATGCTAGTTTATACAAGCAATGCTTTGTTTAAAGTGAGTCTATTCAGGCAAGTCAGATTTCTGTAACAATACTGCAATTCATCAGTCACATGACAAAAAACCTGGAACAACATGAGCAATTATTAAAGCTGCATGGTGAACAATACGCTACTGCTAAAAAACATATTAGAATAAGCTGATGAAGCATGACTAAATATGATCCTTCATGTCAACACTGCAGGCTTGTTGTTTTTACTGCAGGAAAAAAAAATGCTATTTATTCAAGTGAATATAGTTTCCTGTAAAGTGACAAGTCAAGAACAAGTGAAACATATGCTCCAAACAAAATTTTTTTACTGATATAAACTCTTCCAGTAAAAGAGTGCATGCATGACTGTTTGTGTGTGGACTCGTACTTATTTTGGGTAGGTACATAATTTCAGAAAGAAAAATATTTTCGTTTTGCATTAACGTAATTTCAAAACAAGCTTTTATGTTTTCAATAATTTATAAGTGGAAAAAAACATTTTTACTTTTTCATTAGGAATGCTTTTAATTTTCATTCAAGTTAATACTGTCAATTTTTTCAAGGAATAGTAAAAGAAATAGGTAAACCTTTTCTAAGCACTGAAGTTTGCTTTAAAACTGTAAACTAACCAATAAATAATAAATAATTTCTGACTATCAAAAAAAAATATCTAAAAATGCAATTAGACATTAAAAACTTGCTACAAATTTAGAAGCAGGCAATCACAAGCTAAAGTTATTCAAATCATGTGCATTTCTCAAACATAGTTCATGCAGTTATGTATCCTGATAAGGAACACGAAACAATCCATCTGCAAAACATTTACCTAAATGTATTCTCTGTGAAAAAAATATGCATTTATTCTTTTGATCAATTTGCTTGAAATAATAAACATAAAAATATCTTCATACAAAAAACAAAACAACACAAACCAATCCCACAGACATTTTAGGATGCATAATGACATGATAATAACTGTGTTTATACTGTGTCTGTGGTGTGGTTGTCTGTTCTGTTCCTACCTGCAGTCACTGTATAACTGCTGGTAATGATGACATAGTTGCTGGACACCTGTAAAATATTTCAAACTAACACAATGATGCTGAATGAGTCAAACGATCAGGAAAGATTAGATTTTTAAGGCACTGATTTACCTCCCTTGTGAAAACAAAACAAAAATAGTCACGTTCAACTAGCTCTTCTGAAGAAGAAGCTTTGGGTTATAATTGCGACTTGGCTTTTTACGCCAACTATTATTGGCTTAAATTGGGTATGTGTGCCATGTTAAATGGCTTAGTGTCCCTAGCTGTGTTTGAGTGTCCCTTTTTGCTTGTCCAGGTCTGGGCCTTGGTCCTGTTATGGGTTTTGTGGTTTCTTTTCTTCTGAGCCCTTCTTCTGTTGTTTGGTCATTTCTGAAGTATTTGAATGTTTCCTTATTATTCCTTTGTATTAAATGTTCCCTACTTTCTTTTTTGTCCTTATTGTGTGTAATTATTTGTGGTCTAAGTCTTGTTGTCCCTTGTACTCTGATTGTACTTGTGATAAATATTTTATTTCAGCAGTCTAATTTTCAATTACAACATTACCCATTTTTTTTAAACCATTAAAAAATACATTTATGAAAGCAGAAAACACGATGCAAACCTGGAAGAACCAACACGGCCTCTGAAGATCATTTTGAAGTCATCAGACATTGTGTTAATATCAGCTTCCACAACGACCTAAATTGACAATTAAAGAGATGGTTGAATATAATTAACTATTCTGATTAAATGAGCTCATTTCTAATGTTTCTGTGTAACACTTGTAAATCTAAGTCAGCAACTACCTGCTTCCAATGTCTTCACCATCATTCAGCTGAGTGACTTACTGCGTACTGCCTTTACATGATGTACATGGGTAACATGCATCAGGCATGGTTTTTCCTTATGGTCATTCATGACATTCTGACAAGTGAGGTCAGTGCAAGTTGACATCTGAATCTTTTGTGTCATCAAGATCTTTGGATGACAGCCGTCTTAATCTTGGCTGTCATTTAGGAGGACATCCGATGGAGGAAAATTGACCTAAGTTGCATTTAGCAGGACTCCCTGCCAACAGAGATTGAATCAAAATGTGTCATTTAGTAGGGCTCACTGCCAACAGAGATTGAATCAAAATGTGTCATTCAGTAGGGCTCACTGCCAACAGAGATTGAATCAAAATGTGTCATTTAGTAGGGCTCACTGCCAACAGAGATTGAATCAAAATGTGTCATTCAGTAGGGCTCACTGCCAACAGAGATTGAATCAAAATGTGTCATTCAGTAGGGCTCACTGCCAACAGAGATTGAATCAAAATGTGTCATTTAGTAGGAGCCTCAGCCAGAAGACTACACTCATTTTCGAAAAAAGCTTCTAATGTACACCAGTCTATGATCCATGCACTGGGGGTTGTCTGATGAGTGCAAGAGGCCTTCTTGTTACTGCATCTCAAGATTCCCTGCCAGCTCGGTTTAGGCTGATATTGGTGATTATCTATGTTGACTGAAGTAGTCGTGTGGTGGGAGTCTTAGATGGGGTTCCTTACAACCGGCACAGAACTTACCAGCACCCAAGTTGAGGGTACCCATTTAATCACAGCAAAACATACTTAACTTTCCATCAAGCCTGTGATTTAAGTCACCATACCCCCTGCTCCCAACTATCCCTAAAGTGACATCTTTATCATTCAATGAAACTGCAATCCATGTGGTCAGGAAAGGGTCTACTTCTAGATTTACTGAGTGCAATTATTGCTCCACATGAGGTGACTTGAGAGTCATGATTCAAACATGTGTTTGCTCAACAACTGATATTTGATTAAAAAAAGCAGTTAAAAACTATGTCCCTGTAATACATATTCTGCTTGAAACATATTTGCAATTAGTTAAAGCTGATGAATGTTATGAAAAATAGGAGTCACACTGGCACAGTGATTAATGAATAATGAATGTTCTGAAAGACAGCAGCATACTGGCACAGTGGTTAATGAATAATGAATGTTCTAAAAGACAGCAGTCACAATGGCATAGTGGTTAATGAATAATGAATGTTCTGAAAGACAGCAGTCACACTGGCACAGTGGTTAATGAATAATGAATGTTCTGAAAGACAGCAGTCACACTGGCACAGTGGTTAATGAATAATGAATGTTCTAAAAGACAGCAGCATACTGGCACAGTGATTATTGTGTTTGCCTTTCAAGACAGTGGTTCAGGTTCAATCACCAGTAGTGGTGAAGCTCAAATTGGTCTTTAAATAATAGGTACAAAGCAATAATCAGAAATATGTTAACTGTCTGGAAAAGAAAGAGGAAGGAAACAAGGCCCACCCAAAATCATGTCAAGAACTACAAGTTGTGATGATTTAAGACAATACACCCTGGAAGTATCTGCCATGACACTAGGTTTACCCAGGCCACTTTTTTTGCCTATAAAAAAAAAGCGCTGGTACTCATTACAAGGTGTCTAAAAAAAAAGTGCTGGTACTCACAACAAACTATTACTGTACTGTTGGGGTTAAAAAAAAAGGGGGGTGGGGATGCTGATACTGCCTACAACTGACAGAAGAAAGCCCTGGTATTAACCTCTATTTTATGAAAGGCAATATAGATACATAATGCATAGCTCTCTGCTCAATATTACCCGCTTTCGTCAGTGTCTTTCAGCAGTTATTCATCCTGGCTATACGGCTGCCGAGAGGAAAAACATGTTTGTTCACTGTGATATTCTCAGCATATGTGCTGACAAAGTTTACTTTAAAAGATTTCTTAACCAATGTAAACACACAGAAAACACTTCAATGGTAAGTGACCCAACTAATGCCAACTGGAATTCCATGAATGTTATGAAATAAATAAAATAGAGCAGATAAAAAATAATGGACCAGAAATATTCAAAAGTGAACTGGGAAAACTAGCAAAAAATGATAAGTTGCATGAGGCAGATGCCTATAGAAATAGACCACACACTTTAGGAGCAGAAAATGTTTCTTCTGCACCTAATATGTTTCAGAAAGCAAGACTGGTTGGATAATACAAACAATCTGAAGACTAGATGTTCAGAAATAAAACTTACCTGATAGGAGGATAATTTATCCAGGCCAGCAGGTGGGCGGTGGACATTGAACCAGGAAATGGGCTGAAGGCTGCCAGGAGTGCTTTCAGAACATTCAAATGTTCTAAGGTTCTTAATATTTGGTGTCTGCTCACCAACATTAAAGGCAACCAGTTCCAAGCTATCTGTAGGTATTTTAACAAAACAAATACAAAATTATTGTGTGTATTTATTTGAAATAAATCAAAAATAGATCAGGAAGTAGAAATAAGACGTCAGTATCCAGTGCACATACAAAATCTTACATCGTTATTAAGACTTTCAAATTTAAGTATGACCCAAGAAACAGATTTTAAACGGCAAACTGATACCAACACTGTGGTACCACTGCCATACTTGGACAAATAAAATCTATATTAATAAACATATTAATTTTCTGTGGTCGTTACCTATAGACTACTGAACGGATTGTTTTCACATTTTCACACAGTGTTGCCTTTGACTCAATGCGTTTTCATATCAGAAACAAACCATGAACGATGTAGCTCCAGCAATGCTCAAATCATTATTTGCTTCATTGCCGGCCTGGATTTGTTTTTACTTGATTGACTATTTTTGACTGCTAAACAGGGCCGGCAATAAGTGCCTTTTCCCCCATGATCCAGATATTTATATGATGCCTTGGGTTCACAGTTTGCAGCGTTGTTTGCTTTGTTGTTTTACTATATATTTTGCAGCGTTGTTTGCTTTGTTGTTTTACTATATCCTTATCTACTTACATAACAGTGGGTAAATTGTTCGTCGTTAAAATAAATTTATCAATCTTGGCATTTTGTTTTCGTGTTCTTTTTTTTGTGTGCTTTTGTTTTTCTTGGGTTTTCGCTAACTTTAGCTTGGGTTTTCATAGACATCCCATTGGCAGCTGTAGACCTCACCCATCTTCGTCAGTCTGCCAACAGTCTCCAACTATTTCTTTCATATTGTCACACAGCGTTGCATTTGAATACGCACTGTCACTTCTGTCTGTGTAGGTCGGTGTAGCCAGAGGAGTTAGCGCTGCATGGTGTCGCCACTGACTGTTTACCTTAATTGTGCCCCTGCATTATTATATAATTTAATTTCTACTAAATGCTTGAGTCCTTGGTAGCGTAGTTGTATATTCTGCAGGTTATACCGGTGACCGGTGATCAATGCGCCGCTGGATGATAATAGAGTTTTTTTTGTTTTTGCCCTTAATTAGGCAGCTAGCACGTTGTGTTGTGGTTTACAGCTACGCTGTGATATCTACGCCTTTTTCCCACTCGGTTTGGGGGTTGACAGCTAGCCTGTCATAGCAGCGACGTGATGTTGGTCATGTCACGGGTAATCTTTGTTCGCCCTTGAGAGGGTGGTTGGCATGTTGTTTTGTGGTTTACAGCTAGGCTGCGATAGCGGCGATGTAATGTTGGTCATGTCACGGGTAATCTTCGTTCACCCTTGAGAGGGCGGTTGGCACGTTTTGTTGTGGTTTATAGCTAGGCTCCGATATCGGACTCAAACTCTTCAGTCTTCGGTAGTATAGTTGTAAGTAATCAGCCCTTCACGTGGTTGACCGGTGTTCGATTACTTTTTTTCCTCAAAAGGGCCGTTGGCACGTTGTGTTGTGGTTTACAGCTAGGCTGCGATATATGCGCCTTTCGCCCAAAGACATCCGATTTCAGTAAAGTCCCATTTAGCCTTCCCGTGACGCTTCACTCGATCAAAAACTATTCAATGATGACAGAGACTGTTAACTAAGATGGCTTACAGTCCAGTTTGGTTTGGATCGACACGGATGCCAAGGTCATTTAAAAATCGTCCCTTCGGAGAGGGGGAGATGACAGGTGCGGGTTTTTATTTGCGCTATTTGTGAGTATAGTTTTTTTTTTTTAAATTAACGGAATATTACTGTGGGTTTTTTTTATTTTTCTTTGTTGGGGCACAATAACACTAAACAGTCTGTGGCAACAGCATGTGGCGCTAACTCCTCTGGCTACACCGACCTGCACAAACAGAAGTTACTGTTACACTGGCTACTTTTACTTCTCGGTACAGATCAATGCTACCCCCTTTAATCTGGGTGCCAAGCTCAATTTAATTATAATATTTCGTCAGGCGATGACTTTCCCATCCTTTAGAGAGGATGATATGATTGGGGGTGGGGGGGTTATGACACACACTGTTAGATGAGAGCTTCAAACTTTATTTGACACTTCTCATTTCTTAAATATTCATATTTTAATACCGCTTCCTCTGCAATTCTAATTTTTTTGGGCCAGTTTGTTGGTAATTTAGAGATATAATAGTAAGCTTTACTTTCAGCTGTTTAAGCACAACAGATGCTATAGCCTGCGATAAACAAATAATCTATTTTTTTTTCACTCTAACAATGCACTTTAATCGACCACTAATATATACATTCACTTACATGTTGCTTGTTCTATAGTCGGCATATCAGACTATCTCTGTATCTGTGCAATGACCGATATTAACCAGATTAGACACATGCGCTTTCTATTTTCTTTCTTTTCTACCATTCTGGCCACAGCAACGCATGGCCAGGTACAGCTGGTATGAAATAAGATGCCTGAGAAAAGCTACCAATTTACCAATCTGAGACAAAACAACATCAGACAAGATTGTGAGAACAACACCGTGTGTGAGAACAACACCGTGCGTGAGAACAACACCGTGTGTGAGAACAACACCGTGCGTGAGAACAACACCTCAGATTAAGTGAGCAACAGGAGATCAAATGGTCTGGTCACTCATTAGAATGCAGCTACACCAACCACCAACAAATGTGCTACACTTAAAAAAGATTTGTGAAAGCAAGAGGTCAACCTGGGAGATCACAGACTGATGATGTTAAAGACCTTCTACATTTACATAGAATGACAATAGCAACTGCCACCCATCAAATAATGGATTGCAAACAGTTGTCCTTCCCAAGGGTAATAGTAATCTGGGGTCAAAAGTCATGTATGAGTCACTGTATGAGATTTTTCAGTCCAAAGCAAAAGATATTTTTGAATTATCTGCACTGTTTGTGTTTAATGATTACTTCCTATCATACATTAAAAAATTTAAAAAAAACCAAAGATTTGTTTCAATGCATGTAAGCATTTTTGAAACTAAAATTTGAAAATGTATAAGCAACCTATATTCCCCCCCCCCCCCCCCCCCCCCCCCCCCCCCCCCCCCAAAAGGATTTAACCTCCCCCCCCCCCCTTTCCACTTTTCTTCTTCTTAAATTTCAGTTGACTGGATTTTACTTTAAATGTTTACTGTGGCAAAAGAGTTAAAGTCGGGGGAAGTCCCAGATAAATCAAGAGCACTGCTTGTGAGCACTTACCAACAAAATTAGGTCGAATGTCCCACAGCCGATCATTAAAATGTTTCTTCACTAACTCTTCAATGTTGCTTGAAGAGAAAACCCACCTGTAAGGTTACACAAGTAATAACAGGATTAGATCATTACAAATTTTGATCTGTACTAAACCACACACACACACACAAATAACAGTCTAAGGAACAGGATATGATGTTTGGGGAAGAGGAAGAGGACCTGAAATTATCAATAAAAATTATCATTCTGTTGCAAGACCATTTTTCACGCCTTTAGACATGCTGGAAAGGGAAGTACTTAAAATCCAGAGCTGGAATCCCAAAGGTGGTTCAGCATTGTTTACAGTATTATTCCAAGTTGTATTGGCTCTTGCCTTTCCTTTGGTATCACCAGTGATGTAGAGAGGGGAACCCTGCTGCCTTGGCAACAGTCTGTACTCCAAACCAAAATGCCCAGACCTGTGCCCTGGAGAGGTCAATCCAGCGATGCTTAACAGCTTCAACACAACATGGGAAGCAGCAGTCACCAATTATAAGCCTGAGCTCAATCTGTGTAGAGCAAGGCGAAAGGGTTTGTTTCCAATAGTAGGAGAGACCATCGTTGTCTCACTGGACAGCTGCCGCCCGCCTCAGCTGGACAGTCCCAGTCAGTAAGGTGTTGTCCCGCAATGATCCATTTGCCTTGCCGGGTGCACAGGGCTTAGGGCATAATCTGACATACGGATCGTAACCCTTGTACCCACAGAAAAAAATCAGAATCCCGGCTTTAGCTGGGCACATAGAATGTGAGGACCATGACACCTGGTATTCTGGAAGATCTGGGGCACATGAGCAATGCTAGGAAAATTGCAATCATTAATAATGAACTGTCCCGTTTAAATGTGTATGCTGATGCCCTACAGCAGGGCGATTCAACTGGCGGTCCTAGGGCCACATTTGGCTAGCAGAGGCCTAGCAACTGGCCGGCTGATCAATGCCATTTATATTGATTTAATGAAGAAATATAATGAACACAGAGCAAGGGGAAGACCACGTAGGAGATGGAGTGACATCATCAGGAGCAACCTAACAGAAATTAACACCAACTTGTACAATGCATTTGAAAAAGCGCACAAATGATCCTTACATCTTCCCCAATATCTTGCTGGGGTAAAAGGCGGAAGAGAGGGAAGAGAAGAAGACTGAATTTTCTGTGTTGGGCTTTAGGCCTCTGGCCCATGACGATCCCCATTTTTTAGCATTTTGGCCCCTGAGCAAAAGTAGAATTTTAAAAAATCCTAAACACAGCTTTGCCTGGCCCACTAAACGCAAATGCTAGCAACAAATGGAAACATCCTAAACATGTTCTATATGATTTTGTCATGACTGTGTACGGTGAGAGACAAATTAAATCACTGGACTGGTTTGAGGCTCACAGGGAAAAGATGTCGCTAATAATAGAGGAAAAGAAAAGGCTTTACTGGCATATAAAATCCAGCTGAATAATAGAAATCTGCAACTGTTCAGGTCCATTTGGTAAAGATTCCAGAAAACTGCACGGCACTGTGCTAATGGTTACTGGCTCAAACTTAGTGAACAGATACAAACCAGCAATTACTGGCATTATAAGGGGAATGAATGATGGCATCAAGAAGGCTATCGGACTATTAAAAAGAAAGACTGCCCCTCTCAAATCAGCCATGGACGAGATCATAAAGGATTGCACAAAGGAGCTGGAATGCTGTTGTGGAGCATTACTCAGAGCTGTACACTACTAGTACCTATGTGTGTGAAGAAGCTTTAAAAAAAATGGGCGAACCATAGACGAACTAGACATGGAACCCTTCATCACAGAAATTGGTGAAACAGTTGATGAGCTTTCCTCAGAGAAGGCCCCAGGAGAGGAGGGTTTCCCGTCTGAGATCCTAAAAATGCTCAAAGGATGCTATTCTTCCTGAGCTGCACAAGATCATCTGACAATGTTGGCAAGAAAAATCAGTGAGTCAGAACATGGGAGATGCCAACATTATAACGCTCTATAAAAACAAGGGAGACAGAAGCAATTGCAACAACTATGGCAGCATCTCTGTGTTGAGTTAATGTGGGGAAATTCTTTGCTTCTGTTGTCCTGAAGAGGTTGCAAATTTTAGCAGAGAATACACAGAATCACAGTGTGGGTTAGGGCCCAGAAATCTTCTTCTTTTTCACCGGCTGTGAATTCCAATGAAAAGTCCCGGTTGTTCATCTTTTTGGATTTTGTCTTTGTACCAGGACCTGAGTTTTGCGTGTACATCCCTTTTACTGTCTTATTGGTGTGCACTGCTTGTTCCCTGCCTCTCGGGCAGATGTGCTCCGACTTCGATGGAAAACATCATTCCTGTCTCTAGGAGGACTGTTGCCAATGTTTCGTGGGACATGATTTTGCCTCAGTAGTGTGGTGTCCTCCTTGTAGATGCTGCCCCTAGAGAAGCCCTTTAGGGCAACATCAAGTAGACTGGTCAGCTCTCAGGAGAAGGCAGGGGCAGATCAAGGGCATTTCCCTGCCATCCCAGGAGGCTTCCATAAATGAAGAGCAGATACATGATGCTCTGGTCCTGGGCTCACCCAGGTCCTGTACATGACTGCTTAATCTCCACTGGGTTGTTTTCGGTGTAGAGCTGAAATATGTGAATTTAATGAGTATAGTTTTTGTTTGCTGTTGTAAACATAGATTGTGATTTACTAATGTTAATTTGTATGTGGTTGCACAACTTCATTCAACAACATTGTTTAATTCTGGTTGCAAAGATGATTCTAAAACATTACAAGTCTGAGCACTTACACAGACTATACAGTCATCAGTGAATAAATCAAAGATGACGACAGTTATAAGAGAAGATCACTTATATAAATAGCAAACAACAGTTGGCCAAGAATACAGTCCTGGAGTCCTGCAATATTTAAAACAACAGCCTGTGGCGGGGATTTATTGTATAAAACTCCTTGTATTCCTATTTAACAGAAAGGATTTTATTAATGTTAAAAAAGCAGAGCTAACTTTCATTGTTTCTAGTAATGAGAACAGTGTAGTCTATAATATTAAACACTTTTCTACAGTCTATAAATACAACTCCACAATTTTTCTTTAATACTCAGATGCCAGTTTTCTATTATGGTTGTTAATGTCGTAAGTCAAAAATACTTTGATGAAAACACTGACTAGTTGTCAAATGTTTTTTGTGATCTAAAAAATGAAATCTAATTTTTGTGAATGTGTTTTTCTAGTGGTTTTGACAGTGATGATAATGAGGAGACAGGTCTATAGTTACTGCCTTAACAATTCACATTTTAAATGAGGATACAATAGTAATTTTGAAGGCTGATGGAAAGTAGTTTTTCGCCAGTTACTAATTATATATAAAGGGAAACGACTGGTAAATTACTGATGTAGCACAAAAAAGGATCCAATCACTAATTCTGTCTAAACTTTAAGCATTTTTGCTTTTTAGACTGTTGAGATATGTAAATACAGTGACAAACCAACGGAATATTTCAGCCTGGCAAGAGTTTATTGCATCTCTTTTGGTTAAAACAATTGCGCACTTTAAATAAATATAGAAGCGGGAATAGCGGTAAATGTACGACGGCGTTAAGAAGCACATAACTTATGAAGTTTTCTTAGTTGCTACTAGGAGACAAAACCCCTAGATCTAGTCATTCTTTGATACACCAAATGACCATCCCAGCCTTTACATGGGCTTAGCAGAAAAACGGGATCCTACCATTCTTTGATTCTTTATATGAATGTTCCGTGACTTCATCAATCTTGATACTTGTCCATTGGACAAGAGTAACCACTTACTAGTTCTTACATATTAGGAGGTTCCTTATGTTACTATTGAAGGTTAGGACAATTTATTATTGAACCCTCTATCACCTTGTCATCTATTCTGAGAATACTCAGTTGATATCCTTGCGTAATAATCTGACATCATAAACCATCATCCTGTGACATGCTGTATCATCAATAGTATATACCCCACACTGCATATTTTTATGATGTTATGAAGCATTAAAATTGAGTAAAAGGGAAGGGCCCTTTGTCATGTCGTCAGTTGTATTGGCATATAGGGCAGGCATGTATTGTATAGACCAACTGGCATCTGTGTGTTGATGTCGTCAGTTGTATTGGCATATAGGGCAGGCATGTATTTTATAGACCAACTGGCATCTGTGTGTTGATGTGGTCACTTGTATAGGCATATAGGGCTGGCATGTATTTTATAGACCAACTGGCACCTGTGTGTTGATGTCGTCAGTTGTATTGGCATATAGGGCAGGCATGTATTGTATAGACCAACTGGCATCTGTGTGTTGATGTCGTCAGTTGTATTGGCATATAGGGCAGGCATGTATTTTATAGACCAACTGGCATCTGTGTGTTGATGTGGTCACTTGTATAGGCATATAGGGCTGGCATGTATTTTATAGACCAACTGGCACCTGTGTGTTGATGCGGTCAGTTGTATAGGCATATAGGGCTGGCATGTATTTTATAGACCAACTGGCACCTGTGTGTTGATGTCGTCAGTTGTATTGGCATATAGGGCAGGCATGTATTTTATAGACCAACTGGCACCTGTGTGTTGATACGGTCAGTTGTATAGGCATATAAGGCAGGCATGTATTTTATAGACCAACTGGCACCTGTGTGTTGATGTGGTCAGTTGTATAGGCATATAGGGCAGGCATGTATTTTATAGACCAACTGGCACCTGTGTGTTGATGTGGTCAGTTGTATAGGCATATAGGGCAGGCATGTATTTTATAGACCAACTGGCACCTGTGTGTTGATGTGGTCAGTTGTATAGGCATATAGGGCTGGCATGTATTTTATAGACCAACTGGCACCTGTGTGTTGATGTGGTCACTTGTATAGGCATATAGGGCTGGCATGTATTTTATAGACCAACTGGCACCTGTGTGTTGATGTGGTCAGTTGTATAGGCATATAGGGCTGGCATGTATTTTATAGACCAACTGGCACTTGTGCGTTGATGTGGTCACTTGTATAGGCATATGGGGCTGGCATGTATTTTATAGACCAACTGGCACTTGTGCGTTGATGTGCTCAA